TGGTTCATCCACCCAGCGTGTAAGCACACGTGGTTCATCTACTCCTGCCCATTCTGTAGAATGATAGAAATGATGTCCAGCTAGTAACTGTTAGAGTAAGGAGATGATTTGAAGAGTAATGAAATAGTAGAGATAATTTCTTGAAATATATACAAAAATAAAATCCCTGCCATCAGGAAGCCTTTATTATGGATATGTAAAATGTATTTATCAAATTTCAGGTGGAAAAAGTAAGGTGTTTTGCTACTGACTGACGTTCATCATTGTTCATGTCTGTCTATTCCCCAGTTTCTGTAGGCCTTGACTTCAGATAGCTGCGCGTTTCTGGACTTGCCCTGTTCTGAAGGAGAGCCTTGCTGCCTTGATCAAAGTTACACACCTCTTTTGCCCAGGTTAGGCCATATCCAGTGATTGGTCAAATTAGGTAGAAAGGCCCAATTCCCTGTGCCACTTCTGGGACACCCTGAAGGATGGAATGAGTCCCTTCCCCACTGCCACAGATGCTCTCCTTCTCAGAGACTGCTTCCCACAGGCAAACTGACGGACAATAATAATTCAGGTAGGTAGCCCCCGAAAATCCAGATGGTGAAAGCCTAACCCCTACCATGATGGTATTGGGAGGGCAGGGCCTTTGGGAGGTTACTAAGTAAAAAGGGTTCTGCTCTCATGACTGGGGTATGTGCCCTTATAAAGGAGACTACACAGATCTAGCTTGCCTTTTCTGCCATGTGAGGAAAGTGTCCAAACCAGGAGTGGGCTCTCACCAGACAGTGAACCAGCAGATGGTTTCATCTTAGCCTTCCCAGCCTCCAGAGCTGTAGGAAATTTCTGTTGTTTATGAGCCACTTAGTTTATGGCATTTTGCTACAGCAGCCTGAGCAGACTAAAATGCTACCTGATCTTGATTCATCTAACCCCTGTCAATTTCCCCGAACCCCCATACTACCCTATGTTATTTTGAAGCAAATCCCAAGTTATAAAGTTTAGTTTGTAATATATAAAGATATACTGTATCTCTAAAAGGTAATGACTATTCTTTTTAAAAATCATAACTGTACTACCATTATTACACCTTTAAAAATTTGACTGGGCACAGTGCCTCATGCCTGTTAAGCCTAGCACTCTGGGAGGCCAAGGTAGAAGGATCCTTTGAGCTCAGGAGTTCAAGACCAGCCTGAAAAAGAGCGAGACCCCATTTCTACTTAAAATAGAAAAATTAGCCACATGTTATGGCATGTACCTGTGGTCCCAGCTCCTAAGAAGGCTAAGGCAAGAGGATCATAGGAGTTTGAGGTTGCACTGAGCTAGGCTGATGCTGCAGCATTCTATTCTGGGGAAACAGAGTGAGACTCTGTCTCAATAATAGTAAAAAAAAAAAAAGAAGAACAGTAATTCTTAATACCATCAAATAAAACCAGTGTTTAATTAGCTTAAAACACAGTCAACATAAGGTCCTATAAAATACAACTGATTGATACGTTTCTTAATTCTCTCGTTAGCTTCTTTCTTAGTTTTTAAACAATATAATTTTCAACTTTTATAATTACTATGCTAGGAGGTTCAGTCCCCCAAGCGTATAGTAATGCAAATAGTAGCAGCGTACAGTAGCTGCCTTCTGAGGCCCTTTCATGAGCTAGCACTGGGACAGGTGCAATGCATGTGTTAATTATCTTACTGAATCTGTGTAACAACCAATGAGCTAGGTATTAGCAGCCCCATTTTACAGACAGAAAACAGAGAGAGAGATGAACGAATTTGCCTGGGATCACATAGTTAATAAGAAACAGAGGTGAAGTGGAAAACCACGTCATTCTGATTCCAAAGTCCGTGTTCTTAACCTCTAGCTATACTGCCTGAGTAAATGCATCAGGAAAAATTAATGCCATGCTGAGTGAGCACTATTTTTTTTCTCAGATAGATGTTTGAGCTTTTTCTTAGGTTAAAAAAGGAAATTGAATGCCATCATAAAATGGCCATGTAGTCAATCTAATCTTCTGTGTACATGGACCTGGGAAGGAGCTGAGCAAAATCCACAGACAAATGATATTGATCTCTGCCTTCCAGATGCTCATGACCCAGAGGCTGGGTGGAGGGAGGCAGGCAGATAGATATACAGGCAGATCCAATAAAAAGTAGACATGGTAAATGCCATGATGAAACTGCAGACAGAAAATGATGGAGGCACAAAGAAGGTAATTCTCATTTGGGAGGTTAGGGAACGCATTTTCGAGGTTGTGGGAGCTACAGGACCCTTGAATGATGAGAAGGATGTTAGCAAACAAAATTTAGGGGATTGAGGACTGAAGGTGATGAATTTTAAAGTATAATACCACATTTTAAAGAAGTTCATTTAGGGTTTCTGTTTCTCCCTGTGGATTATGTGGAAACGTACAAAGCGTTTATTGTAGTTTGCCCCAAAACTCAGCAACTCGCAACATGGGCAAATGGGAACTAAGCCTGTCCCTGCTTTTACTGCCTTTCCAGACGGGCTGCAGGCTGAGGTGGCAATATGAAGACGTATTGCCCGCCCGTATTACCTGCCATTGTCTGCTTGGTCAGGCAATTTGCCAGATCTTTCTTGGCAGGAGAGCCTCAGTTCCCAAGATACCAGTTTTGTGCCTCTCTGATTACAAGCTGATTGCAACCGTGGATTGTTCTTGATGAGCAGTGAGCAGCTATCAGTGCAGGAGGCAGTCAACCCCTGTGCTCAGTGACAGATCCATCTGAGATTCCTTTTAGGTCTGCCACATTAAGGAAGGAATCTCTCCTTTCCAGCACTTGGAAGGACTACTTTATTTTACATCTAAATCACGTTTACATTTGTGATAAATAGAGAATCCTGCTTCTCTGGTTTCATGAGACTAAGGAAAAACGTTACCCTGAGCAGCAGAGTTTTCATTTCTGTTTTGTTACTTACCTGCAGCAGAAGCTCAGCCTCAGCCTACCTGAACTTTTTCCCAGTCTAGTTTCCCTTTTCCTCCTTCTCACACATCTAGCACTTGCTACGTTCTCAAGAAAGACAAGGTTTTAACGTTAATCAAAGTGGAGCCTCAGCAGAGAAATAAATCTACCACTCACTCTTCCCCTCCAAGCCACAGGTAACAGTGAGTTGAAAAGCCAAAAACAAAATATATTTGAGTCATCCATACTAGTAGTTCTTGTCATTAAGAGAGAAAATTGAGTTAATCATGTAGACTACAGCCCCTCTCTTTGAAGATACCAAGATAACTTCAAAATCAATGTTATATTATTTCCAATGACTTTAAAAAAAAATCTCACATTGGTATTTTGGTATTAGCACAATTATAGCATGTGGTAGTGACTAATGCGATCAATTACATATTTCTGGTTTTTCTCCCAGAGCCTGTTGGTGTTACATTTCCTGAACTCCAGGAGTAAGGTGTGGCCCTGTGGCTTTCTATAGTTAAGACACTGTAAGTGAGGGGAATGGATGCCAACTGCAGACAAGCCTGGAGGGCCAGTGTGTGACTGCCAAGGCTTTGCCTTCCCTCTGCCAGGTAGTGGCTGCTCTGTCAATCTGGTTCCCCTGGCAGAGGCCCCAGCCAACCATATGGTGGATGTGCAGCAAAAGTTAGAAATAAAACCTTTGATGTTTAGAGTTACTTGAAACTTAGAGGTTGGATGTTACCGTTGCGACTACCTAGCCTCACTTGATGGGTGCAGAATGTTTCTTAAAAGCTTCTGAGGTGGGAGGCTGAGGCAGGAAGATAGCTTGAACTTAGGAGATCGAGATTAACCTGAGCAAGAACAAGACACCATCTCTACTGCCAATAGAAAAAATTAACTGGCACAGTGGCTACCCCATTCCTGTAGTCCCAGCTACTCAGGAGGCTGAGGCAGGAGGATAGCTTGAGTCCAGGAGTCTGAAGTTGCAGTCAGGTGTGCTGATGCCACTGCACTCTAGCTGAGGTGACAGGGAAACTCTGCCTCAAAGCAACAATGACAAAAGCTTTTGAGGACTTAAATGAGCCTTTGGATAACCTTTAAGGTAACTCCAGAAAAGATTTTGGCTTGATCAGTGTGATAAAACACTCACCCTCTACAAATTGGAGGGACTAACGATCATTTTGCCAAACTTTCTAAGAAGGCCCACTTTCCTATCTTTTGATTGATTATATAGCATGATATATACTAGGTATGGAATATGTCATATAGCCCCAACAATAAGTGTTTTCAAGAGCATTAACTAAAAATATTACAAAATGGCAAGTGGAAGAAATTACCCTTGTATTTAAGATTTCATATTAAAAATTTTACACTTTTAAAACAATGGTTCTAAGACTTCCTATACTCATATTCTATAAAATTTGCCCTTTCTGGATATATTTGCTGCAAGAACCTCGTAATAAAGACTGAACTGGCAAATATATTATTCAACAAATTTATGCCAAGCTTCACGGTGGCAAATTTGTGTTTTAGCGCCCCCTGCTGGGGAAATTATTATGCACCTCTGTTTTACAAGGAGGTGATTGCTGCCCATGGATCTTTTTGACTTCTGCCTTTTAATATAGACTCTGGAGTGTGTATTTTTTAAAATCTTCACTAAAAGAAATACCTTTTTCAAACAAATGCTCTTCTGACAAACTATCTGCGAACCAATAGTATTTTGTCTGTTGCAGATCCCATAGAAAGAGAAGCACATATTGTCATTAATACGTGTATCATTTACACACACAAAATGCAAAAATCTACCCAGTGAAAATGAGAAGTCTGTAATACTATGCCTTTCTCTCTCCCATTCCACACACATGCTTGTGCACAAGCATGTTTATCAGCCTTCTGTCTCTCTACAGTGTCCCCTGATTTCACCTGCCAAATCTCGGTCCACAGTATGTTGTTCCCACTCATATCAGCAAAGCGGGTGACAAAGTGCCAAGTGATGAGAATCCCATTGTAAGTAAACAGATGTTATCTCCTGTCTTGATCTGTTTTGTGCTGCTGTAACAGAATACCACGGATTGGACCATTTATAAAGAAATGTGCTTCTTTATGGTTCTTGGAGGCTGTAAAGACCCAGATTTATTACCAAAAGTTCAGCGCTTGTCCCCTGAAGCTGCATCAGAAAAAGAGGGATGAGCAGTTTGAGGAGAAGTAAAGAGAAGTTTATCATTTTACCAGCAAAGGAGGAAAATGGCCAGTGGTCTCAAATCCACATTCCTCCTTCTGAGCAAAATCACAGAGGTTTTAAAGGTTTTGGTCCCATAAGCCCATCTTGGGCCAAGATAATCTTGTGGCCTCTGCCCATTCCATCTGCAGCTAAGAAGATCGTGTGATCTCTGCCCAGACAATTCTCTTGAGCTATCTCCTGCGGCACAACAAACAAGAGACAGTCCTGTCCTTCCCAACCACTAGTCTGAAGCAGGGATGCGGGTTTCAGTTCCCCAAAAGTTGGGGAGATAGAAAATATTTCTGCCATTTTTTTTCAGCCTATTCCCTCTATAGCAGACTATAGGGCTGGCACCTAGTGAGGGCTTTCTTGCTGTTTCCTTCCATGGCAGGAGGTGGAAGGATAAGACGGGGAAAGAGTAAGAGGAAAGGAGGTTGAATTCATCCTTTTTATCAGGAAACATCTCCCTCGACAACTAACCCACTGACAAGATAGTGGCATTAATGTCTTCCAGTGGGCAGAGCTCTCATTACCTAATCACCTTTGACAGGCCCCACCTCTTACTCCTGTCCTGACCACCTAAGGGTCACGCAGGCCGACAGTAGAGCAGACTGGTTAAGAGCCTGGCTGAGGGCAAACCAGGCAGATCCTGGCCCTCCTCCCGCTCACTAGGTATGGATCTTTGGTCTAGTTACTTAACTGCACCTACCTCCAGTGAGATTTTCCTCATCTATAAAATGAGAATTATAGTACAGGTTGAATGTCCCATATCCAAAATGCTTGAGACCAGAAATATTTGGGACTTCAGACTTTTTCCAGAGTTTGGAATATTTGTATGTGTGTGTGTATATATGTATATATATAATGAGGTATTTGGGGGAGGGGACCCAAGTCTAAACATGAGATTCCTTGTGCTTTATCTACACTTCATACACATAGCCTGAAGGTAATTTTATGTAATATTTTAAATACTTTTTTTGTGCATGAAACAAATTGTGTGTACATGAGGTCAAGTTCGTGACATTTCCTACTTGCAGTGTCACATTGGTGCTCAAAAAGTTTTGGATCATAGAGCATTTTGGACTTGGGATTTTTAAGTTGGGGATGTTTAACCTGTAGTTCCTACCTAGTAGAACTGAGGTGAAGATGAAATGAGTTAACCTAGTAGACAAGGCTGACAGCAATGTTATCAGCCACTGTTAGTTAGACATAAATTACAGTGTGCAATTTTGAGCCTAACTCTAATTTTCATGATAAAGCATTACTGTATCAGTAGGTACTTTTAAACTGGCGGGTTGAAAATATTGACTTGAGCTACACTATTAAGGATAACAAAAGTCTTTTTGGTAATCTTCAAATGTAAATTTTGAAATTTAAATGTCATTTAAATTTTGTTCTAGAAAACAAAAATCCAAGAAAATGTCCCATTTCTCTGAAACTATAACAGTCAGGGCATCATCTAAATGGGAAGATGAAGTCTCCATTCTGCATATCACAGAAGAAAACATGGGCCATTTTAGGAATTTGTCCCTTCTTGCTCAGTGCTCGTCTCCTCTGCCTCTTGCTGTTACCCAGAAGTAGTCATGGAAGTTTAAAGAAAGAGCGATTGCACTGCTGAAGGAAAGAAGCATAGTATCTAGCTTTCAAATATGGAGTATACTACCTATCAAGTGGTGAAAATAATAGGATGGCTACGTTTTTAAAGTTTTAAATTGGTTAACTTTTCCCTAAAAACTAACAAATTAACCTAAACAACTACAATAGAAAACGTTTATACATATGATCCAGAACCAAATATCGTACCTGTCATGGGAATGATTATACCATGAAAGGAAAGGAGACTCAGCCACATGTGCCTTCTTGTACATAACATGCCCCTCCTGTCTGTGTAGGCAAAATCTGTTACTCGCAGTTAGCAGTTGAAATTGCTGTATGTTAACTGATGTGCATTCAGTGCTGAATATAACTTGAACCACTGCTAGGACTTGAACCATAAAGGCTTCCTGCACGTTAATGTGGATTTCCTTTAAGTCAAAATGTTAGGAGGAGACAAGACTATTTGAAATAAAAGTATTTACCCAAATAAAATCTAAAAGGAAAATTTGAACTCTCTCCTCTCCTTGGTTCCTCACTCCTGTTAGCTACAAAGCTTGAAGTTTTCTGTGAGGCCTTAAATACCTAGAGCAGCCTCCTCCCCTCTTCACCTCTCTACCACCCCTCTCCCCACAAGGCCCTTGCCCAGGATGTCCTAATTTGTGTTTCTGCAGCCTCTGGTAGGTCAACTTGAGACCAGAGGTCTTTCCAGCATAACCTCAGTACTACTGCTAGGCTTAATCTTTTTAAAATGCTACTTTAGTCTTGTCTTCTTCTCTTTCTATACTCTTAGGAGTATAAAGTATACTTTGGCTTTAATTTTCCCAAGTTTGCAGATGACTGCTTCAGTCCTGACAGGTCTCCTGAACTCCCACACGAACACCGGCGTCTTCCTGCTGAACTCCTTATGTTCTGAGTTGCTACCATTACACTCAGAAATCCTGCAAGGCAAATGTCACCTTATTCCCTGATCAAGTCAAAGATTTCTGTTCAGGGCACTATCTTTCATTCAGTCACCTGTGCTAACAATCTAGAAGTTACTGTTGGCTCTTCCTGTGTCCTCAGCAGCACGGCCAACTCGTGGGTCCTAGCTAGACGGTGTTGCTCCCATCTGCCCTTCCTTCCCTGAGTTCAGGTCTTTTGCCCTTTTGCTCAGATGATTGGGCTGGGCAATATAATACCGCATATTGAGGTCATAAAAAGAAAACATGAGAAAACTTATATTTTTAAGATTAAGCTTCTCTAATATTTGCTATAGACACTAGAACCCTTACCTGGTCCTTAGGTTTCATGTTCATGTGTCAGATAGAGTAATAGGAAGTACCCTGAGGGCATACGAAGAGTTCCACTATGATTTGCTGTTTCCTTGCTATGAGTTCTTTGCAATGGGCCTAAATTTATAAAAGCAAGACTTCAAAATAAGAGGTCATCACTACAATGGGTAGGCAAACCTTTTGTACCACACAGGAGTTTTCTGGGTTTTATCCATGGCCAAGTATCTAAAGAAAAGTTACACATTTTTTTCTTTCCACTTATAGGCGGAAGCGTCATGGGTTGGATTCTGTGAAGACAAATTCTGAGACACATTCTGCAGGATGTTTATTAGGACACACCTCGGTTTCAACCCCTGCAGTGAGAAGGATAAGAAGGAAGTAGACTGAGCAGAGGACAAGCTGAGATGCATTTCAGGCCAGAGACTGCTTGGCTGACCCCATGGGAGCTCTGGAGTGAGAATGGTTGGGCCAAGATGTCCAGATCCTGATATTCCTGCATGGGACAGTCACTGGATATGGGCCATCCCAGAAAGGGGGGCATACGAGGTACTGCCTCAAATGCCAACTGCATTCCTATAGCTGGAACACAACCAAGGTAGAGCGGGCTACATCTGGGTGGTAAATCACAATGTACAGCTCAGAAGACAAGTGTACCAAGTTTGCTGACTTCCTATGGTCTAAATGTTTGTATTCCCCAAAATTCATATGTTGAAACTTAATCCCCAATATGATGGCATTAGGTGGGGTCATTGAGATGTGATTTGGTCAAGAGAGGGGAACCCTCATCAATGGGATTAGTGCCTTTATAAAGGGGATCCCACAGAGCTGCCTTGACCATTCACCACATGAAGACATAGCTAGAAGGCAACCCCTGCAGATGAGGAAGTGGGCCTTCACCAAACACTCAATCTGCCAGTATCTTGATCTTGGACTTCTCAGTCCCCAGAGTGCTAAGAAATAAATTTCTATTGGTTATCAGCCACTTAAGTCTATAGTATTTTTTTCTAGAAGCTGGAGTACTAAGACACTGACCTTCTCTGCAACAAGAGTGACTCTCTTCTTTAGCATACTATGTAGAAGATGTTTTTTGGATAATAACCACATTTAATCTGGTTCCTCAAGACAAAGGGAATGTTTTATTAATAAATGAGAAATTTGGCTTAGCACCCATAGCATCATGGTTAAGGCACCAGCCACATGCACTAAGGCTGGCGAGTTTGAACCCCACCTGGCCCAGCTGAACAACAACTGCAACAAAAAAATAGCAGGGCGTTGTGACAGGCACCTGTAGTCCCAGCTACCTGGGAGGCTGAGGCAAGAGAATCACTTAAGCCCAAGAGTTTGAGGTTGCTGTGAGCTGTGGTACCAAGGGATTCTACCGAGGGCAACATAGTGAGACTCTCTCTCAAAAAAAAAAAAAGAAAAAGAAAGAAAAGGAAATTTGTTACTTTAGAAAGAAAGTCACCCTGCGGAGAGAGTACTGGGGAAAGGAATGCATAAAAACATTACCACTGTTAGATAATTTAAGCCCATCTTTGCGAAAGCAGTAGTGAAGAAGAAAAAAGATTTAAGTCCAAAATTATAAAACTGTGTTACCTATTTGTATGCAAGCATGGGCACAGAATTATTTCATATTGCTTAAAACTTTTGTAAACAAGGTTTCTGTGAATTTATAACCTATTAACATAAAAACAGTACAAACAACATCTCTAGTGTGCAAGAACAATGTAGGGAAGGTGGAAATTTGCTAGCTGAATTTCAGTACAAATCTCTGTGGAATACATGAATGGGATTTTAAAGACGTGTCACAATTCAAGTCAGACATGCACTGCTTTTATTTGGATCTTTGCATCTTTTTGAGGTATGAAGGGAAAATTGTTTCTCTACTCACCACACTGCTGACACTAGATGAGTGTGGATGTGTGGGGCAGGGGTGTCCATGCCAACCAATTCTTCAACTCTGTATACACCAATGGGATATCCTACCATTCAATTCTGACACTACCCAGAGTTAATATAGTCTCCACAGGTTAAAGGCTCAGTCCCACAAGACTGTTCCCTCTTCAAATGCCTCCTACAACAATGAGGTATAAAGTCAGAGGTTCTCATGATAACCCATCAGGTTTCCTAATTTGCTGGAATGGCTCACAGAACTCAGGGAAACATTTTACTTTCCTTTATTGGTTTATTATAAAGCATATTATAGAGGATACAAAGGAACAGCCAGATGAAGCGATACAGCAAGGTCTGGAAGATCCTGAGCCATAGGAGCTTCTATTTCTGTGGAATTAAGGTACAGCACCTTCCAAGCATGTGGATATAGTCATCAACCCACAAGGTCTCTGAACCTGATGTTTCAGGGATTTACATTTCATCATGTAGACCTAACTCTAGTCCCTCTGTCTTCCCTAGAGGATGGGGATAGAACTGAAGATATCCAAACTTCTAATCATGGCTTGTTCTTAATGGTGAGCAGCCCCGTCCAGGATCCCACCAAGTGTTGATTTATTAGAACAAAACACTCTCCTATCACCCAGGAAATTGCAAGGGATTTAGGAGTTCAGTCTCAGGAACCAAGAACAAAGGCTAAATATTAGAATAAAAGATGCTCCTAGCACCCCTATTGCTCCAGAAACTTATCATAGTTTTAGGAGGTCTGTGTCAGGAGCTGGAGGCAGAGACCAAATATACATTTCTTATGTCATAGATATCTTTTAAAATGATGATAAAAACATTATTCGGGTAAACTAAATTTGAATAATTGAACTGCTGAATCTCAAGTATTAATCATTTTCAAAAATCTTTTTAAAGCAATGAAGACCATTTGGTGATTGTAATGGGTTGATTTGTGTTCTACAGAAAGATAAGTTGAAATCCTCATTCTCCTGTCCCCAGATTGACATTATTTGGAAACAGGGCCATTGTAGATATGATTGAATTAAGATAAGGTCCTACAGGTGGGCCTTTCTCTCATCTTACATGACCTGTGTCCTCATAAAAGGAGAGAAGCCAGAAGCAGCCAGATAGAGAGGAGGCAGAGACTAGATTTATGCCAGCACAAACCAAGGAACATCTGGGGCTACCAAAAGCTGGGAGAGAGAAGGAAGAGCCCCCCCTGGAGTCTTCACAGGGTTCATGGCCTGCCAGCATCTTGATTTGACTTCTAGCCTCTAGAACAGTGACAGAATAAATTTCTGCTCTTTAAAGCTACCCAGTTTATACCACTTTGTACTTTGTGGTTTTAGCAAACTAATACAGTCACATTAAAAATTTTCCCTGCCATTAAAATTTTAGGTAGAGGGGGTATCACTTCACCCATCGTAGTGCACGCATGCGTTTTTAACCCACAGAGAACTGTACATAGTTGGGTAATGGAGGCTGACTTGCAAATTAACTACAGCTTTAAAGTACTCTATTTTCCATAATATTTCTGTAAATACTACCAACTGGAAATTACAACAGTAGAGTGCTTTTCTGAACCCAATCCTACTCGTGTTTTATACACTATGTCCTAGCTATGATCTTTGGCCCAAAAGGCAACAGCCGGAAAAAAAATATTTTGTACCAGTTTTAAGAAGTATCTCTTTGGGTCTTTGTAAATAATTTTAACTCAAAATTGCTACTTTCAATACAAAAAGTAAAAAGTTTTAAATTTTATCTTTTCTCCTCCTTTAAAATTTCTTTCTCATACCTTTCATGATGTAAAAGTAACAACTGTGCTAATTGTAAAAACAAATGTATTAAAGGTGCGCACTGAAAGATTTTTTTTCCCTTAATTTTCCTTTTTTAAATTTATATATATTTTTTACATATACATGTGTTTATTTGGTACTGAAAAAATTTTCACTAAATATACTAAAAAATGTTTGAGCATATGCTGGCAATTGTGCTTGAAAAGTTATTTGTAGAAATAATTTGAGGCCTAGAATGGTGAGCCTCTTTGTTTCTGCCAGGCCTTGAGGCCACACCATACTAATCCAGGATTCTCTTAATCCAATTTCAGAATTTGAACTTTTCTGGGTCAGCCAGATCAGTCAAAGCCAACCCAGGATGCAGGTTTATTTTCTGGCCCCCTTTTGTTCTGTGGTGTAGCCTTTTGGTGTCTGAGTCCAAAGTGCCTGGGAATCTGGTAGCACCACGAGCCTGTGAGTCCAGCTTCCTCCTCAGCTCCCAGAGCTGTGGAAAGCACCGGCCAGCAGCGTCATAGCTTTAGGACCTTTCAACATCCCCCTGGCCCCCGGCAAAAGAGCTTCCCAATGCCTGGCTCTTATTTCTGATTTTCCATTTCTATTTTCTCCCCAATCTTGGCTCAGTTATTTCTCATTGTCTTATTAGCTCTTTGATATTTGTAGAAAGATTGTTTTTTTAATTCTGCTTTTTTTTTTAGAGTTTATTCAGCTAGAAAATAACTAGGCTATCATGACCAAAAGCATATTCAAAAAATGTTTAAAGACCACTTTCTAAACTATGCCAGTGACTTCTTCACTCTCCAATCTTTTCTCATCTTCCGTTTTGCTGCCAGATCAACATTTTTCAAACACTATTCCTGTCAAGTTATTTTTCTGCTTAAGAAACAAAATTCCTCAATGACTCTCACTGTGTGGTCACTCTATTCTATGTCAATTTAGTCAATCTGGAATTTCCCAGTATTTCCTTTCCTGTTTGTTTCTGGATTAGTGTTGGCCAAAAGACACATGCTGGGTGATATTTGGGAGGTCCAAATGAAACAGCTGCCAATTTTTTGTTAATGTTTTGATGGCTGATGGAGAGCACTGGCATATTGTCACTGAGCTGCAGCTGGCTCACTAAATTGGCAAGGAAAAGCACATCAAACCACTGTTCTTTCAGGTAGTAGGCTGAACAGACCTGTCCCCTCAAAATTCAGCATTCACCAATAACCTCAGAATGTGACCTCACTTGGTAATAGAATCTTTGCAAATATAATTAAGTTATATTACGATAAGGTCACGCTGGATTAGGGTGGACCCTACATCCAATGACTGGTGTTCTTATAAGGAGGCCTTGTAAAGACACAGACGCACAGGGAAGAATGCCACCTGAAGGTGGAGGCAAGATTGATGTAGCTTGCTGAAGGAATGCCAAGGATCGCCAGCAGCCACCAGAACCTAGTGAAAAGCACATGGAGGCTGGAAGCGGGAGAGGCAGATGTCAGTTCTAGTTCGTGTTTGCTGAGTCCAGTCATCTCCATTGATCCTACTTGGCCCTAGTGTTTCAAGTTTGGCCTTGCCCTTGTCCACATCGAGTGTTCCTTTTCAACCACTGGTTTAGCAACTGTGGGCACTAAACAATAGACACAGAAGCAACAGCTGCCTCACCAGTTGCACGATAGCCTAAGATTTAACTCCTGTAATAAATCCCTTATGCCATACCACTCCTGGTGATTTTGCTTTTCAAACTCTGACTGATAGATGCTTTTTCAAATTAAGTGAAAATGAACTGAGTGAAACTGATCTTGCTATCCAGTACCTCATATGATATTAAAATATATAGAATCTCCATAGCTGACTGCCTTCCTACATAGACCACATGCTTAAATTGACCTAATTTCATAGATGAGATATGCATGTATATAGTAGCACAGTTAGGCCTAGTTCCTTATGTTGACTACCTCCGTATGCTAAACACCAGTGCCTCGGGTGGTGAACTTACAGAGGTTCTACTGCATTAGGTTATTAAGATTGAGATCTAGAATTTACCAAGGACCTCCTTAGTACAAGGTGGGGCTATGTTAGGTAAGCTTTTTATATACAGCACCTAATTCAATTCTCAAAACAACTCTATGGAGAAGGTAATAGAGCAGTGGTCCTCAACCTTCCTAATGCTGTGGCCCTTTAATATAGTTCCTGTGGGTCGCGACCCACAGGTTGAGAACTGCTGTAATAAAGCCTTGGTACTGCAGTTGCTACTTCAACAACATGGGGGTTAGGGACATCAATCCCTCAGTCAAAAATCTGCATATAA